ATTTACCATAATAGTACACGGTGGAACGGCCAAACTAAAAAGCCTAACCGGGATAGAGAGTCGCTCCGCACCCAAACCCACCCTAACCACCAAGCCGCACCCCACCCGTCCCCCGGGAATGACCTTGTTGGTATTATGATATTCACCTTTAGCTCGTCCATGGGGTGTGTCCCAAGCATGACCACCCCGGCCTTCGGCCCCCACCCGCCTACCCCCCCTCTCCACCGTTAGTACCTTTCTGACGTACCGCTATTTAACCGGTGCCAGGAGTGCCGCTACCGGTTAGGCGGTCAGTCAGTCAGGCCAGGGGTCATTGAGGAGTAGGCTCATGCAACTTTCGGTTAGGAGGTCAGTCAGTCAGTCAGATGGTTAGGATGTCTCAACCGACCAGTCAGGCAGTCAGGCAGTCAGTCCGGTCAGCTTTAGTACTCCGGCCCTGTGGCCGCGCTGACCCCATAGGGTTTTGACCGGAAACCGGAAACCGCATTTCTAACCCGGAACTTGAAATCTCCCTTGTGGACCGGATTAGCGGGCCCCTAGCATTATCTCTTAAGGAACGGCAGATTGAGGCATGGTGAATTGACATCCAATCCACATCCGTTGTGGCGACGTACAAAGTGTTTCGATCGTGCATGCCTGAAGAAGATGATCGCCTGATCACTGCCAAGGCGCTCCCTTCCCGCTGGGCAGCTATTGAAACACGTTTCTGCACTTTGGACCTTGTTGGCAAAGATCGTGACTAAAGCGTGTTCACGAAGTGCGTTGACGGTTCGACTGGTAGGTCTGGATTTGATTGGGGGACGCTTTCATGTCAATAGTATTGAGCTGGCAGAAGGCAATAATGGGTGCTTAACTGAGGGTGCCCAAAAGACGCGCAAAGCGCCTAGGCTCTGCGCAGAGGGAACGCAGGAATCCGTCGAATCTGTTGGAATTGGGCTGTCAGCCTTTCGGATAGACCTGGCGGCTATGAAAATGGGAGGAAAAACAAGAACCGCAAAAGTCACACTAGTCACGGGCATGCGGCAGAGCTCCAAAACGATGAGGCCGGGTTGTGATTCACGTTTAAAATTCCTCATTTCATCGGCTCCTCTTGATACGGAGAAAAAAGAAGAAAGAAAAAGGGAAAACAAAAAACAAGCTGCAGACGGGTCTTGCATTCCACTGGGACGAGATTGGATTCAGATGAAGCGAAGGTAGTCACAGCAGCTTTAGGAACGAAGGAGGTACATCTTTTGGAGGGCTATGAGATTGCTTGAACCAGCTTCGAATAAACAGTCAATGTCAGTAGAAAGGCTGCTGGCTCCAACGCTTGCTCAGCAGACCTTTCCGTGAAGGCATGGAGGAATCAATCCCAGCAAAAGAAAGCTGCTGATAGATAGGGTGCTTTGGCGAAAAGGAGTCGCCCATTTTTGCCAAGCGTCCGTCAAAACGTTAACGTACTTTCGACTAGCAGAGCTTGGCAGAAAGCTCTGCGGGTATCTTTTGGGGGAGCTTTGTTTCGCCATCTGTTGTTTGAATCGACCAAGTCCTTTCAGAGCCGCTGTGTAATTTAAGGTGGGATCTGCATGATTGGGCTTTTGTACGCAATCTTCTCTGTGTCGACCCTTCAAGACCCAGCGTTTGATAGCCAAAGGCAGCGTTTGGGAATTGAAGAAATTGAAGGCTCGGATTGGAAAAACGACGTACAATTCCTGCTTCGCAATCTGTTTGCCTCTTCCATATAACAGTCCTGAAAGTGGCAGCCCAACTTTCGAAAGCTCTCGCTCAATCCCATCTGCATCGATTGGATCCGCTCTTCTGGGCTCCCTCCTTCAGACAAGCTCTTCGGGCGCTCCTCTGAACTTTTCCTTCTCAACGCCGTTCTTCAGATGGACTGCTATTTCTTAGCTTCTCTGGCCAAGAGAAGCTAAGAAATAGCTTCTCTTGGCCAGAGAAGCTATTTCTTAGCTTCGGGCCAAGAGCCCGCCTTCAGATGTGACAAGAATTGATGACATTTCCCTTTCGCAGCTTTTCAGCAAGTACTGCACCGCACCGCATTCCCACCACACCCGCGCCGCCACGTGGCGCGCTCTTATATATGGGCCGCTTCGGCTCGTTCCAGACGCTGCGGCTGCCTCGAATTTGGCACGAAGCGCCCGGCCAATTGGAAAAATGCCAGCTGGCAGTGATGCGCGCGAGCGAGGGAGCGCGGAGCTGCCCTCGGCCGGGGCCGCGAGTACGCCGGCCTGTCCAGAACGACCTCCCAAAGGGCCCGGAAACGTGGGCCCGGTTCGAATCCGCTTCCGTTCTTCCGCTTCTCTGCTCTTCCGCTTCCAGTCTTTCGCTTCTCCGCTCTTCCGCTTCTCCGCTTTTCCGCTTCTCTGCTCGCTCGTTCCACACTCAAAGCTCCACAAACGGCGCGTTCCGGCCAGGAAACACGAAAGAATTGCGCTCCAGAGGCGTATCTGCTGCCTTTTATCTTTGAATGGTGACTTGCATATTGGAAGCAGAAGAGAGCTACACTTTTGCTTGGGCAAGCCCCCGTTTCAGACATTCAGTGGACCTTCCAGCTAAGTGTACGAGTCTCCGTTACTTGTGTCTGCTCGCCCTCTGTTCCACGAAAAAATAATCTGGGATGAAATTATAGATCAGTGCTGAAAGGCCAAGAAACACACTGCGTTACCAGATCGTCTTCGCGGCGACCAAAAATTTGCAATAAATAGTTTCGTGGAGCGCCAGCACGACCACGTGGTCGCTCACCTCCGGAGTCGGGTTAAACTAAATGGAATTTAGTCGGTGAACTCACATTTCGTTATTCCAGCCAGTATGAATCGCCTCGATTGGCCGCTGAGAAGCCAATCCTTCTAATGGAAGTTGGCGGACGTGCTCGTTCCGGTGGGAAAGGACCAGCGGAACATCTGCGCTTTCGTGCCTCAGGGGCCTGTCGACGATTGCCAGATCTCCGCCTGTGACTCGATCAGAGGCGTTACTCATGCATGCCCGTTCCGTTTGTCCAGTTTGATTGCGAATCAGCCACTCTGACTAAGCTCGACAACCGCATCTGATCCCCCGGCGCTTCCAATTTTCAGAGAAATATTGAGCGCACATGACAGCCGCGCCGTCCTTTTAACCTTTCGTGCAATGTCTGACGCCATGTTACTGGACACCCGCACTGTGACGGCTCTGCGCGCGCCACCGGTTACAACGACTCCGTCCTCGTGCTGTCAGGTGACGAGAACTGCCGGGCCGTCACGCCGTATCCGCCGGCGCATCCTGTGTCACACTGCCGGGACGGCTGCCGATTCTCCACGAACGTCTGCAGGTTGAAAGAAGATAGAAGCGCGCGAGTGTTGCTACCGGATGGATTTACGGTGGAGTCAGACGTACCTCCTCACATGAGTCGACTCAAGTTCAACCACAACGTGTTCCTGAACACGAAAGGTCAACGCTGCGGGTGTTGAACTATTCGACGAGATCGCGGTGGATTTGGACGTCCTCGCGAGGGCGGACCTGCCGCACTTTCCTGGTATCCAAATGTCGGGAAGGGGGGCGAGCATCATTTATGCGACGCAATTTCTCGACGGCGTCGACAAGTGGGCCACGCATATCGTGAGTTCGTTCAAGCTTCATCTGCCTTTTCGACAAGTGCTCAGTTTTCCCGTCTGAAAAAGGCGTCTTGCGAAACGCGATTGAACAGATTTGCGGGCGAGCGCGACGCGGAACAGCGCTGATGCGAATTGCTCGGCGAGAAAGCAGCGGCCCGGGGGTTGCAAGCTTTATTTGTCGCCACACATCAGTGACCGTAAGAACAGTCGACACCACAGCCACTTGAAAGACCGGTCATAAGGTCGCGTGCAGCCATCGCAGGAAAGCCTACTCTTCACAATCTGAACAATCTGATTGTGACACTAATGAAAATCCTGAAAGGACTCCGTAAGTGAGGTGGATGGACATTGATTTGCAAGGAGCGTCCAACTTTCTATTCATCTGATGCGAGCTAGTCACATGCTGAGAATTCGAATCACCTGACTATCGTCTTGATCTGCATCACGTGCGGGCTGTCTCTGAGCTTTTCAAGCGGTCCCAACAGCTATGAGCGTGATTGGCGGCCAAGCTTGTCTTCTGTTGCTTCCATGCCCAGAGCTGATGCATGCTGATTCGCCTTTTGCTGATTCTGCGCCTTTGCGCTCCATTTGGAAGAGACAAATTCTGCATGTGATTTTTCATCTGGTTGCGGGTTCTGTTACAGAGACGAGCACAAATCTTGAGTTCCGAAGTCGAAATTTCACAGCTTGCATCATCATGATCCTGGGATTCGACAATACTGACCAGCTGTTCGATTTTCCGGTCTCTTTGCCGCAGTCGTACGTCGCCCAGTGGAAGCTCAGCTGAGTCGAAACGGTGGAAGCGATCCCTGGACTCAAAAACTGGATGTCGCTTATGGTGAGACCTTCGGAGCCGTCCACATCTTCCGTCAGGAAACCCAAGGTGATTTGCGCCAAAGTGCGTTTCGGTTGTGATTTGGAACGTATGATCAGAGAACAACGTCGTGCTAGTAGAGAGGATGCCAGAGGGATCAGGTGAGCGTACAGGTGAATCGAACGAGCCCAAGTCCGCTCGCTTAAACTCTCCCTGCATCGTGTATTATGGTTCTGACGTGACTATTCCGCAATGCAAACTTTTTTGGGAGCCATGCTAGAGGCTTTCCAATCCAGTTCATAATTTGCTAAGCTGTCGCAGGGATGCAAGTAAGTCTCACGCCTTTGCCTTCCAAGTCACACCGGAGTCGTTCGTTTGTTCGCAAGTTCTTTTGCAGAAAAAATATGGCGTCCTTCCAGACGCCGGCAACCTTGCTCTGACGGATTTTAAAGCCGTCAAACGCACAGGAAACGGGTTCTTCCGTCCCGTCAGTTTCAGACTTAGCAAAGCGAGTCCTGCGTTGACTCTCCACTGACCCGTTACGACCTCTAACCGGTTGTTAATCTGGTGAAACACATCGCGTTTGCGTGGCCGCATCGCAATCCATTCGGACGCTCTTAGCCAGTGCGGACGCCCCTTTGATTTGTTCGGACGCCGCTGCACGCGTCCAGAAATCTATCGACTCGTTCGGACGCTCTCGGAGCCGTTTCGACGCCTTGGGATGTCCTTCAGACGCCTCTTAAGCCAATCGTTTCCGGACGCGCGTGTAAGCCGGTTCGGATGCCCTTCACTGGCGGGACCCCTTCAACTTCTACGGACGCCCTTAAACAATTCAGACGGTCTTTTAACCCCCTGTGACGCGTGTTAACCCGTTTCGGACGCCCTTTCTCCTCCAGCGGACGGTCGAAAAGGAGCTGCGCGCGGACCTGGCGCTCGTCAAGGCCGCCCGGAAGCACCAAAAGGAGGACGCCGATAAGAGGCCAACGTCGCGACCCCTTATGATGACAGCTGGGCCGGAGGCGGGCTCACAAGCACTGTGGCGCTGCTCTAAAATAGCAGCAACCGGCCGGTGCTGCGATAGCTTACTCGTTGGTGATACGGTATGGAAAATAAAAAGGCATGGAAGATAAAAAGGCGATTTCGTGGTGTCTGGTCAAGGCATGGCACCGGAGATTTGTAGGCCGAGGTACAAAATGGGCAGGGCTGAGCAGGAAACTCGTAAACGGAGGCCTGCTCAAGAGATTTCGTCCGGTAATATTTGCGAAAGTTATTCTGGTAAAGCCTCAGTACCGGCCATAGGAGAGTAGTCCTTCACGTCGTACAGTTCTTGTATATAGCGTCAAGTCGGAAACATTGGCTAGTTCAAGTTGGTCCAGCAGATGTCATCCTACGGCTGCTGAGGTTTGCAGAACTTTTAATTCAAGCCTTCAAGGTGCTTCGCAGTCATACGAGTCTTCTCACGAAACTGTCGTAATGCAGCCGTGTCAATGGCACTAATCGGCATGACTCCGGCTCGAAAGAGAAGATTCTCTACAACCACTCTTTCATTGAGACCATTGCTGCATACACTGTCTTATGCACTTGTCTTATGCAGTTGTCTTCCAAATTTATGCATTCTGAGTGCCCCGATAAACTTGAACACCTAGGAGTGCCAGGGCGCCCAGTCTTCCAACCCGCGATGCACTCAGTGATAACGCTCGAAAAAGGGGGAGCCCAAAAGGGCAGGTCGGTGGTCGGTTTCGACAAGCGTCGAACCGACGTGGTTTTGCTCCGCACGGGAGATCCCATGCAAGTGCCCCGAAGGGCGCGATCAGCCAGCACTGGCGCAGGCAATCGGCGAGTACTCTATTGCTACACCGACAGCAGACTTGGCTGCTCACAAGATTTATCAATCGTCTCTGGTAACGTCACCGACCGGCTGACAAGTTCCGTTCCTTCCGTCGGGCCCTCGCTAGCGTTCGGTACTTTAAGGGAGTAGAAAATATTCAGAAAAGCCCGAGCTGCAGGAAAGGATCAGCATACAAATATAACACTGGCACACCGGGACATGACTGCAGTATATTGAACCGGGCCGCGTGTCGAGGGTTTCTTCAGAGCTGCAGAACGCCTCGCACCTTTTCCGTGTGAGGAAGGGCCGCAGACTTTCCAAGCTGTCTAAGGAAATTAAAATTCTGATAAGCTAAGTGGACATTAAACGTGGCGCATCCTGGTGTGCACCCACAAATGGATAACTTCCTGCACGAGTAGGCGACGCCTTACAAAGGTAAGGCGTGGTTTCCTTTCCAGGGTTGCCTGAACGGCGAGTTGTGTTTCTTCATGAGAAGCAAACTCTGTCGAAAAGGATGTGTAAAAGTGCTGGCAGCAGACTTTGTGGAAACGGATCTGACTGGCCATTAATGTCTGTCCTTCAGCCCATGCGCTATGCTTCGGACGTTTTTGTTCAAACATTTTTGTTGAGAGAGCTGTTGCAGAACAAAACGTGTTGTCTTCCTTTCCTGGAAACTCAGCGCTAGCTTGTTTCACCTCTTATATATAGCGTGCTAGGGAAGACGTTAAAATAGTATGTCTTGGACAAGTCGACTGGCAAGTGTACGCACGCGCCAGTGGCAACGTCCCCTTACTTCTGAATCATTCATTCGATTTGGACGTGAAGGGACTGGATTCCAGCTAATCACCGGACATCAGATTCTCGTAAGAATGGATTCGGACCCATCCACTCCGTCAGATATCACGAACTGGCTTCATGAAGTTTCTTCTCAGACTTCGGAATTCAGGCTCTTCCGGCCTTGATTATTTGGCTATTATTTACATAAGGATTCTGCATCCCGAACCGAGGCGTGTTTTTCTGAATCCTGCTGAAAGACACGTCTAAGCCGCGCTAAGATATGGATACATTCGATAGTTTCTCCCGCTGCCATCTCGGTCGTGGCGTCACGCCTTTGGAAGTTTACGTCACCAAGTGGGATTCCGCATAAAGCACTAAGGTCCTCAGTGTTGTCGTGCTGGCGCTTGTGTCGCTCGCCGATCTTCCTTTTTCAAGTTGATGTCTAGATTAGCCATTTTCTGAAACGAGGTCCCAAAGCGAGCAGATGCCCGTTTCGTCGGAAGTCTCCCTTTGTATACCATGGCGACCGTCGCACATGCTGAGTCTTTTTGCGGTAGTTTCGTAAACCCAAGAAATCTACGGCCTTTCAAACCAGAGAGAGCTTTACATGTGCATAGCCAAGCTCGCCACTTCAAAATCTTGCGTATCTTCACCCCCTCCCCTCCAAAGCTGGTGTCGTGCTGAACAGTGTCTTTAAGCCATTCTTGCGGCGCCACGTGGCAGCGTGGGCGTCTTCGCTTCAAAGTTCCACTGCCGCTGCTTCGAGCCAGCCTCCTCGAAGCGCGCGGCCGCGTTCGCGGCGACCAACGGAAACTCCCTGCCAGCTGGCAGAGATGCGCGCGAGGAGAAGCGCGCGGAGCTGACCGCGGCCGGGGCTGCGGACGGAACGGCCGGAAGCGACCTCCCCAAAGGAGCGGAATGGTGAGGTCGGGTTCCGGTCCCGCTCCCGCTCTTCGTCTCCCTTCGAGGTTGCTTTTTGCATGAGAGCGCGGCCGGAAGCGACCTCCCAAAAGGGGCAGAAGATTAAGAAGCCGTTTCCAAATATGCACTTCGGCGTTCAAGCTTAAAGCAGCAAACGAGGGCGGATCCTTTGACGTATTTTTCTTCAGATTTCGAACGCTTCTCTGCTGATGGTCATGCTACAAAGACCTCAGAACGCACGATCCGTGCGATCGCCCAATTGTACCAGGTTCCGTTCGCCTTTTCGAATCTTCGTATCCCTTTCTATTGGTCTCACGTCTTTCCAATCCACTTTGCACATCGAACGCCGCGAAGAGCGGCAGTTGGCACATTTGCAACTTGCCTGGTGTTAAAATGTCTTTTTACGAGTATTATACGTCTAGCATAGTAATCGAAACACCTGCGTGATAGGAGGATGTACAGGAGTTCCTCTTGTGCAGTTCAATTGCTCCAGTCCAAGATGCACAGGCGACGCACATGAGCGAAAAAGAGTACCTGGGCGAGTACGGTGATTCCGTCACATTATTTCCGGCGCCGGACCTCGACGAGAAAAAAATAGCCAAGCATGGGGCGAGGGTGGAGGAGCCGTCAGAAGAGGCGCGCTTCGTCGGTGCTCGTATAGCTCAATAGCTCGCCTTCTACTTGAGAATTCGTGTTTCCCAAAATTCCCACTCAGGTTCATACGTGCTCCACGATCGCCAAGAATCTGAGCCCCTTGACAATGTGCCATCCCTCTTCTTACATTAAATACTGATTTTCATGTCGTCTACCTCTTCTTCATACTCGAACAAATGCGATCTCACATGGATACGGCAAACTGATGTCAATAATCTGCGGTTTGTGGGTTTAAGGCTAGCATAGGAATGGAGCCACGAAACAAATTCGCATTTTGCAAAACGAATCCGCGCTCTGTTTCAAAAATAACTGCAGCACGCCCAGAAAATCAACTTCGAATCTTAAATGTGTGTGGTTGGGATCAAACCATGTTCAGGAAACAAGCACCCGATAACAACAGCTTCCTTGAGTGGCAGTACCGTCACTCCAGTTGCAGAAGCTGACGCCAAAGATCGAGACCCACAAGACCGGTCCGGATTCGAATCGAGAAACCCCTGGTGCGAGAGCTCTGTTCAGATGAGGAGAGGGCCCTGGGTCATTCTTTATGCTCTCGAGAGAGTCGTTAATTTCCCCACCTCTGCCCTGACCTCTGCGTTACGAAAGGACGGTTGATACTTTTGACCAACAGCGATTACAGGCAGACTGCAATGACGTAAGAAATGCTGGGAAGCAAGGCTATTTGCTAACGTCTCTGGGTTCCATCTTGTTGACGTCAACGGATTTGACACTTTAGATTGCCCAGTTGATCTATAAAGGTCCAAAGGTCCTCTGATCACGTGGCAGGTCCTAAGCAGTGCCAACAGCTACGCCCAAGTTGCACTCTTCGACTGGCTTCCTTCGCTGAAGATAGGACGGCTGACGTACGGCGTTCCGGCCATCGGAGTCCGCCTGATCGTCGAAGCTCGAAGGCTGCGTTACCTTTCATGCAGTAGGTCAGTAGTGCGCGGACTCCACCTGATAATACTATGCGTGTGGCCAAGACTCGACACATCGGACCGGATTTGACGAAGCGCCGATCGTCAGCGGCGCTCGCACGCGTCCTCGCTTCAACGCGACCACACCTTGTGCGGGTATCAATCCTCAATTGCGTGTGCTGATCTTCCCTCTCTTCTGATTATCATGCGGTCGACTCGTGCTGCTGACTCGATGGTTGCACTCCAGGAATGAGACCGAGCATTCTGCTGTCTTCGAAGAACGACGCACGGGCGCCCTTCAATGGCAAAATGACAGACCCTCGGATGTATTGAAATTCGCTTCTGAAAGAAGCGCAGAGAGGTCAGAAACTGGCGGGACCCGCCGGTGTACGAAGTAACCCAAAACGGGCAGCAAGACCAGGCTTCTGAAGTTTTGCGTGTGTAAAAGCGCGCAAAGCTGCACGTGCATGCGACGTCAGAGCTCCTATTTAGGAGGTGAGGCCGGGTTTGCGTGCAGACAAAGTCCCACTCTGTTTTTCTGGTGCGGTTGTATCTGAGATACGAAGTGATCTAAAAAGACGTGCAGTCGATCACGCCGACAGGTCTTGCAAGCTCTTGAGATGGACGGCTCGTTGGGACAGGAGAAAACAAGGCAGATTGAAGCAGCTTTCATGGCAAAACGATTCGATCCTTTCTTGGGCACGTTAAATTGATTCAATGGGAGGCTGCCGGCTGAGACTCGAGCTCAGCAGGTTCTTGTGAGGGCAAGGACGAAGCAGGTGTAGCAAGACTTTGCACTTTCAAGCAGCTTGGTAGCTTGGAAGGTTTGCAGCACAAAAGTGAACCCAATCTCTCAGCAAGAGGTCCTGAATATGTTGAACGAAGTCCCCAAGTAGCTGAAAATTGCATCACGTATTCCTCGAGGGCAGTACAGTAGTTTCAAATTTAGCTGCCGTCCGGTTCGAAAGCGTCTCTTTAGAACCACTTTGAAAAAGCTCGACGTCTCGACTGGGCAGGTCAGATGGGCTCTTTCACGCAGCCATCTCCGTCTATACTTTTCATAGCGTTGTTTTATCCAAAGGCTGAAATTTTGAAAGGAGAATGGATAGAGCTCTCCCCTGTCCGCAAGTTCGCCCCTCTCTGCGTTTAGTTAAACAGCGCCGAAGCGTACAGGTCAACAGGCCCGAATTCGACGGGGACAGGACACCTTATTGGAACCCATCCGATTTTCAGTTGCACCAACTGACTTGTGGCACTGGGGCTTTGGACCTCCAGATACGCCGTTCGGGCAACCCACTATTCTGTTTCTCGCTTTCTTTCTTTTTCCTTTCGCAGTTCAAGGGGTAGAGAACGATTGGTTCAGCAACCCTCTCTCTTTCCGGATCCCTCTTAAATCACCTCTCTTCTACGAGCCATCTTCTTTTGAGGGTTGACAGAAGCTGATGGCGATTCCCATTTGCAGCTCTTCGATAAGTACATCGTAGCGCATCCGCGCCAAACACGAACCGCCACGTGGCGCGCTCTCATGGGCCGCTTCGGCTCTCTTCTTCGGGGCTGCGGCTGCCTCGAGCCCGGGGAGAAGCGCGCGGCCGCTCCCGCGTGCTCCACTGGAAACATGCCAGGTGGCAGGGACGCGCGCGAGCAGAGGAGCGCGGAGCTGGCCGCAGCCGGAGCCGCGGACACGCCGGCCGAGAGCGACCTCCCAGAGGGTGCGGAGAAGTGAGTCTGGTTCCGCTTCCTCCCCGCTTCTTGTTTTGGTTCCGCTCTTCCGTCTTCCTTTCTGAGGTTACGTTTTGCATGAGAGCCTTTCCTCTTCCGGTTGGATTCCCGTTCCGTTCGTCCGCTCTCCTTCTGAGCTTGCGGTTTGCATTCGGATGTGGGCGGAAATGCGCGCTCTATTCGAAAAGGTACGAAAGAAGGGCGCTTCGAGGAGGTTCCTGTTGAGTTTGGGCTTCGAATGTTGATTCAGATCCAGAGCTCTTCACAAAAGAGGCTGCGCGCGCGCTTCTACCTGAGCAGTTTTCCTTCAGCTTCCTCCGTCTTTTGCTTTCCGTTGTACCCTATGTATGCTCGCCCTCCGTTCCACGTCTTGTTCGTAACTGCTCAAAAATCCTATTCTCGAAGATGGAAGGCGATGCCGCTTTAAAAGAGGGCGTGGCCGCCCACGTTTGTTGGCGACACTTTTGCACACCAGGCCAGCTCCTCGGTCGCCGCGATCTCAATGTCAAGACGTTCTCTGGGGCGACCGTCAAAGTCAAACTGTTGGGAAGTTGTCGCCGGTGCGAGTGCATCTGCCCGTTGCCTCTCCGAAGTTTTGTTGCCTAACTCAACCTTACTATTCAACGGCCAACGTCGTTATATTCTCTCTTTGTTGAACGGGTCTCTCTCAAAAGAGAAGCAGGAAATCGTGTCCACACCCACTTCTGTCTGGATTTTGATGTTTCCTTTGCTTCGAGGGGACAAGTATTTCTGACTTCTAAAGACAGTCATCTGAAACGGATGTCTCTGTTCAGAGGACCATATCGAACAAGAGCGCACGCGACCTTCTCACGTCGTTGACCACCTTCAGCGTCTTTCTGATCTGCTGTGGTCTGTTTCTGGAAAGCTTACGTTCTGGTTGACGCTGCGAGACTTGGAGATCCGCATAGCCTGAGAAGTACTCCGTTGACCAGAACAAGGTCGTATCTGGCCACACAAGATTTTTAACCACTCGCGTTTGCGTTGCCGGATGAATATCAGACGCATGACCGATTTAAAAGGCAGCCCGAATGACTGGACAGGTTGGTATTTGTCTCTCGCTTATGGCACGCTTCTCATCAATAAGCTTTTGCCGGCTGGACTTGTTCCAGCGCTGCAATCGTTATCAAGAGTGGGGAAGTGGAGCGAGTTCCGGACTGGCATATTTCGTCTCGACGCCTGAAGAGTGAGCATCCGAATTGCCATCTGCATGGGCACGTCTACGGTCTGCCTCAATTCGTAAATCGGCGAAACCCCTTCGAAGAAACCAACTTCTCTGCAGGATTCGTTCCGGCCCTTTCCATCGCCCCTCCAGGCTCGACAGCGCGCTTACGTTTGTGGAGGACCGGCAGGCAACCCGGCAGTGCGACTCAGAATACATGGGCGAATACGGCGTGACGGTCCGGCAGTTTCCGTCACCGGACAGCAAGAGGAAGGAGTCGCTCAAACAGGTGGCGCGCGCGGAAGAGCCGGCGGAAGAAGCGCACTTTGCGGGTGTCCGTATCTTGTAGCGCTGTATGCTCGAGATTAGCAAACCAAGTAATTGCGGCAGCGCTCGGGGTACCCATTATGATGGGCTGTACTGTAACTAGTACGTCTCAACGTTCTTCCTACACTGATGGGCATAAAGCTAGCTAGTGTCACAATGTCTCGACGTGCGTGTTCTTGTAATCGCACTGCATGTTTCTTTGATTGTACGTTTTCGATCATATCGTGTCATCGCAATTGTACACATAAATGCACAGATCGTAAGGCGCCACCAGAAGCGGCCATTGAGCATATATTCAAACGCATCGGAGACGGTTGCATGCATGCGTTACTCAGCGTACGTGGCTGGTATGAGTGCCCTGCCGGCCAGTACGTTCACTACATGAGGCATGCCAGAGTATAAGCATAGCCGGCGCCGGTACGTATAAGTTTTGCCAATTCAAGTCCCAAGTACCAAATTTGGTCCTTAATCAACGTTCAAACTGAGTTTATATAATCATTGCCGCGTTTCATAGCTGCCGCCAACTTAATATGAGCATATATCGGACCTTTAATTATGCAGTTTTATCATAAGTTTCAATGATATTATAGATCCAGCTAGCTAGCCGGGTAGGTATTGATGCATTCCAGTGATACCGTCGTTAATTCCATGTATGTATGGCGCGGCCGCGACGTAATCGAAGTTTTTCGTCTTTGTATCGTATCTCCCGAAGTGGAGTTTAGTTTGCAGCCTTCTGGCGCGGCTGGCATCGCACTTGAGTGTAGGTGAAAGCTGGTAAAATAAGTAGCTTCCATTGAGATGTGATTCTGAAAGACACTGTGTGACACATCTTTCATATTCAATCTCAATTCATCACTGATCGGAACCCAACGGTCATAATGTACATCTATTCAGGTCCTAGATGGCATCCGACGGTGCTTGGAAATTGAGAGAACCGATTTTCATACATGTAGAGCCTATATTTATGAATGGCGTGCAATAATCACACAACAAAAGCAGAAAAACAAATATGCAAGTGCAGAAAGAGCCAAATAGCTCTTGATTTCAACTACAAACGCAGGGAGGAAGCTTCCTACATAGAACTAAGCCTAGTGATGATTTGGAAAAGTAAGGCAAGTCCTAATGATCAAACTTCTCACAAAAGTCTGGGTTTAAGCTTTTCAGTGACTGTCCCCAAAACCGTCACACAGTCACTTATCTGACTCGATCCACTTTATACCTTTCTGTAAAGCTACCTTCTGCAATGTGCAAAGGGAGCACGTGCCTGCAAATGTCCTAAAAGCGCGCGTAAGTCTAAGCTTATGTATGTACTGAGAGCCCCGACTAGGATTCTATATATAAGGCTCCAAGTCGTGTCTGTTCAGATTCAAGGGGAGACAGGCGCACCGCCCCTCCATTTCAAATCCTCACCCTCCACCACCTTCGAGAGAGCAGTTAAAGCTTCCCTTCCTTCCACCTTCCACTCATCCTCCCCCAACCCCCTGATCTTGGGAGGTACCTTCAACCCTTCCGTTTTTCAGACCAACCCCAGTTCCGCCCATATCTCCAACTCTATGCTCTCGTCACATTCTCTGCCCGGTAACTCCTGATAACAAGCTCCAGACTCCTCTGTTCGACGAAGAAGTAACAACTCTCCTCAGCTCTCGACAATAACATTCTCTTCTCAGTAATTTTCGCGAAAGCCCCCTCACTTAGCGCCAATCTTCTCCTCTAGCTGGTGAACTTTCTCCTCCAATTCCGTTCGGTCTTCCAAGTGCTGCAAATTGTCCAGCTCAAACTGTAGCGTCTCTAGTTGCTCTATCTCCTGCCTCTCCGTGACCATTGCAATCACGGCCTGGGCCTGCTCCTCAGTGCCGCCTTGCTCAACGATCGCTTGAACGATGGCAGTAGTTTCTTCTGCACGCTTCTCTTGCTTCTCATTCGAGATCCTGTGGGGCGAAAGACAAAGCTCAGTAATCATCCGAAGAGACTTTGTTTGTTCCACATCAGGTTCTGCTTGTCACGAACCATTGTTTGCTCCACATAAGAATCTGCTCTACGAAACCCTTTGCTTTAAGCACACATAATGGCCTTGCTTGGAAACAACAATGTAAGTGGTCTCATGATCGGTACTAGCCTTTGTGGAACTTTTGTGTGGACACTGAAATTCCAACACAACAGAAGCCACTACGAAATGGATCCTTCAATGCGAAAGAACTCTCAAAGAGGTGCCCACAATGCACTCAAAAAGAAGCAACACAACAGATACAACAGATACAACTAGGGACTGGTCAGCAGGCGAGGTTTGCCCGTTGATGCCAGTTTGGCATACTCACATGGAGAGCATGGTAACCCATACGAGCTCCACCATATCCACCCATAGGAGCCGGTGCTCCACAGGAACCACCCCATAAGTTATGAGGTGCGCAAACGGCCAGAGCTTCCAGCCGGCCGTAAGCATCGGGACGAACGTGCCGCGCAGCTCGCGCCAGATCGTCGTCGGAGATTCGGCGCGAAGAGCGCCAAGGGTTGCATAGTAGATCGAGTTCCAGATGCCAGACCAGATTGTCTGGTCGATACCGACCTTGATGATGACAGCCCACCTGTAATGAGAAAGAACGGGATGAGTCACATTGTCAATGCTCAAAAATTGCTGCTACTGCTTCCATGTTTCAACACTCAGCAAGATGAGAAAATGAAGCTTGGTGCTCACAGGGAAAAAACAACTAAACAGGCACAGGTGAGGCACAGGTGGCGATCTGACCCCACTCAACTTTCAATAAATGATATGATTTCCTTCTGATATTGCATCTCAAAATCCGTGATTGCAAGTGGATCAGCAACTTCTACATCAGGTTGTTACTAGCAAAGGTATGACCAATGACTTTTCGAATCCAGCAATCTACAAAAGGGTCAGTCTTCGAAACTTACAGAGCCGCAAAAATGGTCCGCTTACCAGGCAGTGAAAGGGAAGACCGCCTCGAATGCCTGGTAGTAGAAGTGGCTGAGCGATCCGTGCAAACAAAAGCCAACGAGCCCAGAACGGATCATGCGGGGGCGGTCAAACTCCAAGAACGGCTTGCCCTCACAAGTCTGCACATGGGCAAAACAGATATGGTTAATGCAAGAATAAAGAGAAAGTGCAACGTGTCCGGGGATCTGGAGCTAGGTTTTAATAGCATGGAGTGCAACTGAGGTTGCCCCGTCCTGCAGAAGTCCCCTTGGAATGGGCGCTGAGACGTGCAGATCTATACTGCCGTTTCTTGATGAATCGCACCCAGGCAGATTTCTTTACCTTGGGTTTATGCCTGAGGTCATCCAGGACAACAGGCACTAAATGTCTCCACTCCTGAGGGACCAATGCCAATCCTATTGCATGCGAGCTAGGCAGCATGCACCTTTAGGCGTTGATCCAAGCCAGATTTGCATGAACTCTGCCAATATACGCAATAACTTCCCAAGCAATACGGTATTGAGAAAGGCCGGTTGGAAGTTGTCTGATCTCACCTGAGCAGACCAATCGCCGAGTGTATATACAACACCACTGATGCACATCTTGGCAAAGACGGGGTTTGTTTGAAGCATCTGCTGGTAACCATGCCAGTTGTCCACTGGCACCCGCCTCAGAATTTCAAAGTAGCTCCACCCCTGCGCAGGCAAGAAGGCAATCAGATTCAGATGGATGAGATGGAACAAGGATTTCAAAAATCAGAACCTACTCTGGTCCCGAACGAAGCTCAACAACACTCTGAAAAACCATTTCCGAAAGACAACAAAGGAGATCCTGAAGATACTAAAGACAGAGAGCACCTACTGTGCATGCACCAGAACAACTGCAATCAACCATGTCAAATGGCAGGCACTGAGCAGGATCTATAAAAGAATGTACTGTGGCGTCAATCAGCCAGGTCACAGCAATTTTCTACCAATGAGAAACTCAAATCCATGGCAAACAGATTGCTGGCAGTTAGCAATGAGACTGCTGTAAGACAAGTTGTCAGGCTGTAACCCAATCCAAGCTACATGTCAACACAGAAACTGCAACCTCCTTCTGCTTTCTTTCTTGTGTTCATCCTCTTCTGTCGCCGCCGAACCAAGCAGAACTGAGCTGCTGCACAACATGCGTAAACAGAAGCACACACGAATTCAAAAGCTCAAGAGTCTCATTGACATGAAGCTTGAAGGTGCTCAAATCCACTTCAAGGAATCCAGAAGAAAAGTTGCGTGTACGCCTGGATCAGAAAACAGCTGGGTGAAGGGAATCCGCAAAGCAAGAATCCTCACCGTCCAGACATCCTGATCCACCGTCAGAATCTTGTGCGCCGCCGCCGAAGCCGCAAACAGAACCAAGAATGCGTTCACAGCACAGTTCCCGACCTTGCTCTCCTCTTCAGGGCTCTTTGTCCACCAGAACCACTTTGGTCGGTAACTAGTGACAGCCATTCCCACGTTCGTATTATTTGCTCCCCCAAATGCCGGCTCCAGGTTAAACTCCGGTGTTTCTTGCGACACTTCCCCTGTCTCATTCCCCGACGCATGCAATTTGGTCGCGGTCTGCGGCTCTGCAACAGGAACCCCCCGCAGCCCGCCAGCTGTCCGCATGAACCCATCCTTGTCGACATCCCACCCACCAGGTGTCATCTGCTGCATGACTGCGCGCGCCTTCGGACCCCTCTCGACATACAGCTGCCCCTGCGGCTGGACAAATGTGCTCGTGAACCCATGCCCGCTCGTTGATGCAGGCCCGCATGGGCCGCAGTTCTTGGGCCGTCGAAAAGCTGTGACACCGCCCTTGACAGCTGTCGCCGAGGTGCCGACAGCTGGTGCACCGCCACCATTGTTACGGGCTGCGGAAAAGGAGCGGCTGCTGATGTAGGATCCTCGGGACACGGCACCAATGCTGGTCATGCCTGCTGCAGCCATCCAATAGCTGCGAAGCTCCCTGCAGTGAAGAATCTGTAGCCTAAGAAACGTTCGATCTAGGAGGAGCCACGGGCCCGCCTCCCTTGTGAAGCTCCACCAGAATCTGCGTGAGCTGGCCGGGCAAAAATGCGTTTTGGGAAAGCAGCTTGAGCAATGCAACGTTGCGAGGCCCTTCTTTCCTGCAGCAATGTGGGGGGAACGAAGGAAACGCCCGGGATTCGAGTGCGGATGAGCCAATTGCAAGGCCTTTTGCTTTGGAAGCCTCGAAATTGGCACCCAGGTGGCGACAGCTGTCTTGATCTGAAGCTTCTGATTGGCTGGCTCTATTCAGTGGCGAATGTGAGGCCAGCTCAAGGCGCACAAACGGCGTCGATTCGCCGCAGCATCTGAAGTTGACGGTTCTCGCCGCCCAGTGCAACTTGTGGCGACAGACTGTCTACGTAAGTTGAGCGTTACTGCTGTTTGGGTGTTCCTCGATGGTTGAAGCTCGACTTGTACGTGTCCATTTTCTAATGAAAACGCAAGTGGATCGGACCTTGAACCCGAACTTCCAGAAATCGAGATTCGGTTGCGCAATGCTAATTCGGGGTCCGGATAGATTCGGGTGTCAGAAATCCACGTGGTACAGGTTGTTTTATTGAATGCTTTTTGGCTGGGTGGATATATAAAGTAATTGTGGCTGAACTTTGAGAGTTCGAAGTTCGATCGCTTATACCGTACTGCCAAGGGAAATCGCCTGAAAATAATTATTTTGGGGTCGGTGCGAAAAGTTAGAAAGTAAATGGGACCCTAGCTGCGAAAAGGCGAAACTAAAGAATCACCTCAAAATGGCGAAAAGTTCTGTTTTGCAAGGCAGAAAAAGCAAAAAAATCCTTTGTGCGAAATGTAAAATAAATTCTCAACCCGTTGGGTGAAACCTCAAAACGAACGAAATTAACTTTTCGCACCAAAGGTGGCGAATTCCCTTGGCGGTACGGTATCTTTACGGTATATGTATCGGTTAATACAGGGAGGTATACTGTAACAGGTTTTGCCCGGTGTCTTTGCCTGCGCTCAGCGATCGAGCTCTGCCCGGGCCCCTTCGGGACGATCCAGCCCGCGAAAGAAAGATGGTTTAGAAACTCGGAAGACAGTACGGTACCGGTACGTGCACTTGAAGTCCCCGGGGCCCGGGTAAGTTTTCGGTTGACTGGCCGCCGTGGCCGGCTACCCAGAGGCCCCCGGGGCCCGAAGGATATTTCGTAGATACTAAAAAGATCTAACATGGTCAATCTGATATATAGGCTATTGAGAGCCATTTAAAGCTAATTCAGAGCTATCTACTAACAAGCATAGGTTATGTTATCTCACCACGTTTATCTATATAGCACCTTGGCTTCGGTCACGTAGACCACGCGACCGCTCGCGCGCAACCGCACCTCTGAACTGTCGCACATTCATGCATTCAATCTTTTTTTTTTTTTTTTTTTCTCAATAATCTGGCATTCATTCATGCATTCAATCATCTTGAACGCAAGGGAGCATTGCTTCAAATTTGGAGGGGCGCCATTTGAGCTCTTACAAGTTACTGCAGAAGGGACAGGTTTCATTTCTTTTGATAGGTTAGGACAGAGAAAGTCCCTTTCCCGCAGCTGTGCGGTGCACATAGCGTCTAGGTAGCGTCCGAGACTGGCGCCTCTTTCTCGTCTCCGAACTGTTTATTCCCAAACAAATATCTTCGTCGTCTTTTGTTGTAGTTACTGTTCAATGCACACACCCAACATTTACACCACCGTTGGTTTTTTGGGAACCTCCACCTATTCTCCTCTAGGTAGCCTTTTCCCTCGTATACAGAATGTCCCATTCTAGACAATTGAGAACATCAGCACACCCCCCCAAACACGGCATAAACACCGCCGTGATCAGGCGCCTGTAAATTACTACACCCTAAGAGTGTAAGCCGCTGCGAGATAACCTGGAATTTCACTAACTTGTGTCAAGTTTGAACGGCAAACATTTTAGGTAAATAGAGAGTCGGGCAAAAGGTTTGCAATTCCTGCCAGCAGACCTAAACCTTGGCGATAGTGGCTCTTGGAGCAACTAGAAAGGGTGGTGGTGGGAATGGCAGATCAGCATGGATACCCGGCAGAGATCCCCGTTGAGGCGACCCCGCTCCTTCCAACTCTTTCTAGCCACCAACGACCGAAGAAACTATCGAGCAAGAAGAAAACTTTTGGGTGAGTTTTAGGGTGCAAGAAATGATGAGATGAATGCGAAATTTTTGCAAGCACCACCCATTCTTTCTCTGTCAAACAAAGAGAAGAAAGCATGGGGTCCAATCAGAGGGCGCTACGACGGTGCTCCTCTGAGTTCTGTCAACCGCAGACCACTCGCTTGCGCTCACTTGTGGATTGGGAATCTCGTTGTTTTCAAATATCTGCTGAAGTCATCGCATGCCGATCATTGCAGAGTCAGATCACCTCGGCACGTAAGTTTTCAAGGTGGAGTCCCCAATCTACTAGCAGTTGTTGGGACACTTCAGCAACTTGCAAGTCAAGGCATTGATGGCTCCTTACTTCAAGGTCCAGCTTACAGAGAAAGCAAGAGCCTTTGGTCAGGTCTCATGAGTAATGTCCTTCTGTACTGATCGATTCTGCCTGAAAAACCTCTACAATGACTTCCCCCCACCACTCCAGAAAACTGACACCCTTTACGCCGAGCTACTCATTGAAGCACTCCACCAACACAGAAGCTTTGCTCTTTGCAGGAACATTGTAATCTCAATTGTCGGCGCGGGAGTGCTGGGCCTGCCGTATGCTTTCAAGGAGAGCGGTTACCTGCTCGGCTCAATATGCATCGTGGCTGCAGGGGCGCTGGCCTGGTACTGCATGATGCTACTGGTAAGGCCTGTATCCATTTTCTCCTTGCTTTCCTTCGGACGATGGATGTTTATTTCTACCGATCGATTACCAGTACTTACGGTAAGGCCTGTATCCGTGAATCGCTGACATTCCAAGGTTCGTGGATAGGTCGTCCCTTCCGGCAGCTAACTGTCCACACTCTTCTCCTTCAAGCTCGCTCAAGCACCTGCAGGTGTAAAACCGCAGCGTCTTGATCGTGGCACTGTGTGACCACTTTGTCGTGCATGGCCTTCGCCCTGCGCAAGTGCCTTTGCCTTATGAAGGATGGTCTCCCGCGAGATTCTGACCCTTGTCAGGGTAACAATGCGGGCGGACGTATGCCAAAAGAACCTGCGATTGAACGTCTTTTCTCCCAGTTTTCGATGATGACCCGTTTTGAGCAGTACAGATTCTCTGTTTTGCAGATCAAATGCGCGGCCAAGCTGAAAGAGCAGAACCACGAGGTGCACACCTACGGAGACCTGGGCTTCCATTCGCTGGGGAACTTTGGGCGGCAGGTGGGTTTGCTTAACCAGGCCCAATCTCAAAAGTTTTGGAAATACCGTAGTCCATCGTGATGATTCCGAACGATTTTACATTGAATTCTTTTTCAACATTCCGACAGAAAAGTGGATTCATCTATGCTGATTCCGACAACAATCCGACTGCCCTATGTTCTCATTAAGAGGGGGATTTGAAGGCTGATTTTGGCCGTTTTGGGGCTTCTGAGGACCATTCCAGAATTATTTAACCTTTCCGAAATTCCACTTTCCGAATGCAAATAAATATCAATTTATTTGGAATCATTACCTTGGACTACGGTACCTCTTGAACTTTGAGTGGCGGTGTTCCTTTCTGCGGTACATCCAAAACACATTGTCCTTCTGGGCGACGCCAGCTCCATTTTCCTACGCCCTGAAACGCTCAGCATCAGTGCGTCCTCTCAAAGGTTGACAACGGTCAGAGTTGACCCTATAGACCCTGTACCCTATAGAGCACTCTGCATTTTCGTGCTCTGACACTAGCCTACCTGTTTGAGGGGTTGACGTAGTCGGCCTTCCCCTCTCATTAGGTCTTTTCGAAGATCCGAACATGGTTGTTCGACTTGCACCCTTTCTATCCTGAATCTGGTGCTCGTTCCGTTTGTTTGCAAATCATGGTTCATAGGTCACAAACTGCACTAACGGGCTGTGTCAGATTGCCAACATTCTCGAAAGTTTCCTGTTGCCCGTTTACTGATGTAGCGGTCGTCTTTTGCCGGGGGGGCTGGTTGCATCGCGACCTAGATTTCAAAGCAGAAACCAACCTCTTCACGGCAGGACTAAACGACAAATAGGTTTGCAGTCATTTCGCAAACCAACCATCCTAAACCTGGTCTGCCGGTTGACCGTCATAATGGTCGTCATCTCCTGGGAAGTTGTTTCGTCGCGTGCTTAGTCTTCGAAGTCGGAACAAACTTCGTCACGTCAGGACAATACAACAGCAGGCCTGCAGTGACTCACCCTCGGTTCGCTAACCCTCTCTTACCCTGTTGACCGAGTGGGCTGTCGTGCAGCGTACTAGTCTCCATAGCCTCGACCAGATTCCACAAGCATGCTAAAAACCATTCAAGCCTGCAGTTATTCCCGCAAACCTGCTATAATCGTGTTCGGCCAGTTGACCGACGTAACGGCCGTCCTCCCCTTGGGGGGAGCTGCATCGCGTACCAGGTCCTAATAGCTGAGGTTGATCGCCTAAACTCAATACCTGAAAAGAATCCGCCCAGAATTAGTCCGGTAACCCTCTCTAACCCTCGTCTGGCGGTTGACCCGACGTAACGGTCGTCATCTCGCAGGGCGGTGCAGGATCGCGTACCTAGTTTCCATAGCCGAAAATAGTATCGTAAGTCAAAACCAACATATCTGAAACCTGCAGTTTGTTTGCTAACCCCTCTTGAACCCTGTTCTGCCAGTTGACCGACGTAACGGTCGTCATCTCCCAGGGGGGGTGCTGCGTCGCGTACCTAGTTTTCATAGCCGAAAACCTGTGCACGCTAGTTCCCTTGCCCAAGACCCCGGTCATCCTCCTCCTGATCCCCTTCCAAACCCTCCTTTCCTGGGTGAGTTAACCCGCCTTAACCCCGGGTTCTGAGTTTTGGGTTTTGCGCGCAGGCGGTGGATTGGTGCGTGCTTTTGAGCCAGAGCGGGTTTTGCGTCGCTTACCTGGTTACGATTGCGGGGAACGTCGGGTCTGCGCTGCACTTGTCGGGGGTCGCGGTTGTTGCGAGCATTGTGCCGCTGCAAATCTTGCTGTCGTGGGTGAGTGGCGGGACAGGGTCAAACAATATTGGCTCGAAGTTCCTGTTGGAGAAAAGTCCATCGGGTTTCCTCGACCCAATAAAGTGTTTGATGGTTGGCTTTGTTCCCGCGAGATGAAGAAAGGCAACGGAAGTCGGCTAGCCAATTCGAAAGCCCGTTCGAGACAGCTAGTCTGATTACGAACGATGATGCATTATATCCGAACTTGCTCTCTCGAGGTTCCTGTGAGCCAGAGTCTGCACGTAGCTTCTGTTTGAGGATTCTAGGATTGCGTGCTTGATTGTGCGCTAATACAACCGATGTCAACAAGGTGATTCCCGGGCCGTTCGGAAGGCCCGAACTTCATAACCTTGTCCCCTGCTGATCTACACAATCTGCTCACGTCCTCTCGACAAAATAGTGTTCATGCATCTGCCGGCGAGCAGTGTCTAATCACCAACCGATAACAGTCCAGTCCGAACCCAATTGAGCGCGACAATGTCATGAACCGCAGGATTGGCGTTGCAGTGTTCAAAGCTCTCTTCACAAAGGGTTCATACGGTCCCCCGTCCAGCATGTCTTGAAGTTCCGCACATTATCTATCTAGTGAGGAAAAATCCTCTGCGGCTACAAAAGTCTTCCAGCCTTAGTACCGCCGTCGGGTTAGCTCTCTTAAGTGACGTCAGATTTCCTTCGGCCAAAAATATCTGATCCCTTACGTCTGCTCCCTTACGTCTGCTGATGTTGTTATTCAACACTCTGCGCAGATACGATCCTTGACAGGCCTCGCGCCTTTCTCGATCGTCGCCGACGTCTTCATGGCGATCGCCATGGCTGTCGTCATCAAGGACGACGTGGCAGTCATTGGACCGTCCAGCTTCAGCCACGTGCACGCCTTCACCTCACTTTCGAAAGCGCCGTTCGTAATCGGCGTCGCGGTTTACTGCTTCGAGGGGTTTGCCATGACTCAGCCAATCGAGCAGTCGATGAAGGAGCGGAAAAGCTTTGGATGGGTGCTCGGGTTAGCGATCGGGTTAATCACGTTCGTGTACCTGTCGTTCGGGATGATCGGGTACCTGGCCTATGGCGAGGCGACGCGGGTAAGGGATTCGTGGAAGTTGGTTAACTATGAATCGTACATTCTAGTTCATAACAGATTGTTTGCTAACTTTTTGCGGCCCACAGATGGGGCAATCAAACACCGACCTGCTGAATGCTGCAATCCCACCGATACCATTGTAGCAAACACGCGGCTCACGAATGCAACCAACATTCACAGATTGTCAAGCCCTGCCCTGACATTCTCGCTTTCTTCCCTGGCGTCCTATTGCTGGTTGACAGCATCATACGATGCCACTTCTCGAGTTCGCAGACACGAAGCTCGTCATTAGTGTAGAGGCAAAATGAACATTCGTAGTACTTTCCACCTGTGTAGAGGCAGAATAAATATTTGTAGTACTTTCCACCTCTGAAGGCGGCCAAACCCGCCTCGGCCGCTTACTCTCAGACTTGCTTAGGATACGAAGTCAATTAGCTCATCCTAAATAGTCTTCATTTCCGCAGGACATTATCACGTTAAACTTGCCCCACGACTGGACCACCATAGCGGTCAAGCTGGGGCTCTCGGTCGGCCTTTTCTTCACTTTCCCGGTTATGATGGTGCCCGTATACGAGATCGCTGACCGGCGGCTTATGAGCTTCTCGTGGTTCCGTCAGTACGTCGAGCCTTCACCCAGGTGAGCATGTTTCGGGGCCTCACACGTGTTCCCTACTGTGCACAACAAGAGCTCGGTGCTTCTCGAAACAGTGTGTGCGAGAAGTTGGAGGGTTAAGCACGAGCTGTTTGAGAAGCATCTTGCTACTCAGGGTTGACAAGGGTCCTTGTTTGACGCCTCTGCAGTGACTGAGGGGTCGATTATTCTACTTACTTCCTAATTTCCAAGCCTCAGTCAATCTGGTATCCTACATCGAAGCTTCTCTGCGCCTCTGTGTTTTGTTGGCCTGGTCTGAAGTACGATAGAACGTACTTCGATTGAGGATCTGGACTGCTCGCTCAAAGGTCGAAGCGTTCTGTGAAGTCGTCGTGAATGGCGGTTGTGGCAAGTCGAACCTCCGCTACCCAAAATACTTTGGTATGTAATCCTCTTTCTTGTCCGTCAAGTTCCTCTGTTGATAGAACAGTGGAACAGCTGTTGTTTTTCATTACGTAACACGTAGCTCGCGCTCGCAGGCTCCGGACTGCCCTCTTCCGCACCGCCCGAGCGCTTATCGTGCTCCTCGCCGCATATATCGCCATCTCGGTTCCGGGGTTCGGTATTTTCATTTCTTTGGTCGGGAGCACAGTGTGCGCTATGCTAGCGTTCGTCCTTCCGGGCTTGTTTCATTTGAAAACCTTTGAGGGGGAGCTAACTTGGTTCGCACGAGTATTTGATTATTTGTTGATTGCTTTTGGCACCACCTTCGGTGTCGTAGGAACTTTTAACACGCTCGCGTCTATTGTTGAGTCGCGTCATTGAGGGTGATTGCGATTTGCCGGAAGGATGCAGGTGAAAGAGGTCAAGTAGTGTTAGATAGCGTATTGTAGCAGCGTGGAAGAGAGACTACTCTGGCGTGCATTCGTCTGGCGTGCATTCGACAAAGGTCTACGGCCGTTCCGTGCAGCCACATGCACGGATCTGGACCCCGGGAGATTAGTAAGCTAACAATTCATCAAGACATTTTTTCTTGACCTGACTTACTGTGAGGCTGTAGCCGTTGTCCTACATCATTAATACCGGAAAATTCCTCTTGCAATTGCCTGAGCCACACTGGTTGCGTGCGGCGCACCAGACACGACGGTTTCAAGTTTAACAAATTTCAAAAACTGAAATAAGACTGATTGCGAGCATGGCACAATGTTGGATGATTACGCGAGTTCGTTGCGGGCCAGTTTGGCGTAAATCGTGTACACCCGCCGCGCCAGTTTTGTCGCGAAGGAAAGTGGGCCTAGCTCAATGCACATGCATGCGCGGCAGACATTGCATGATTGTCACGACTTGCATATTATGTACAGAATTCTGAACGCAGATCGCGTACAGTCATTGGTGTCCGACGGTCTATATAGGGGCCGGTCGGACAATTGAATACCATCGATTACAAATCATGCATGGCCTGCTATCATAGCGTTCATGAAGAACCTTGCAGACCCGCCCCTAAAAGTGCCCGGTTGCTTGATGGAGAAGTCATCGGGTAATTGGACTCAAGATTCGATCGCAGGATAAGATCCAATCAGAACACGCCACCTGCCCTTAGCCCAAACGTGGTGTCGAGAGGCGGCCCACAATCAAACCAGTTCACCGGGAAGTAATGTACTAACCGGCCTATACGACCGGCTACTATTGCAGTCACTGATGCAAGCCTAAGGGCCTCCCGGCGTAAGGTGTCCCGTGCCGTATCGACCGGCCTGCAGTAATCGCACTGAACACTCGCCTGTATTT